CCATCCATATGAGCTCTGAATTCATAATGTGAGGGAGGTGAAGCTTACACATCTGCAGTACTTGATGAGCTTTCAGTAGCTCCCTGTGCTCGAGAGGTATTTAGTTGCCCTTTCTGAAACATCCAAGCCTGGACAGGAACTCTGCAGAGAGACTAATTCTCACCTTCACATTCCCAGACAGGGACTAGCTATCTACTATCTAGCAGTCAGGGACTAGCATGTAACCACACAACATCTTTTTTTGTTTGTTTGTTCTAAGACTTCTTTGGCTGCTGTTCTGATCATTCTTCCCAGGCTGCATAGCCACTGCAAGGGTAACAGGACTAAAAAGCAGAAAAAAATTGACTCATTAAAGTACATGAAAATAGCTTGGCTTACAAACGGAGTGCATGCAGATTAGATAAACTTTACCTATTCTATTAGCAAGTCCGAATAGGCTGAATGTTAAAGTTTTCTTTACTTCTATATGTCGTAAGGACCCCGTCACCACCTTCTGCTCAGAACTGCCACCAAGGGTTGTTGAGATCTAGGTCTGGTGTTCCTGAAAGAGCAACCCCAGTGTCCTGAAGCACAGAGTCATTGATTGGGCTTTGTTTTTAAAATAGTATCACATTGGATCACAGAATGTATTCTACCCTTACCGAAATCATAACATTTAATTTTCAAAACAGTACAAGACTTCTCTATGCTGCCCAAACTAGTAAAAACTTTGTTAATACTCTTCTAACTTAAAATAGCAAACTCAATAAACCAATGTTTTTATTATAAAAAGTTTACTCTCCAGCTGAGCATTTGAGTGCCAAGTTCCATCCAGAATCACACTTTCACAGCCAAATTAGAAACTATAAACTTAGAAACCAGTGTTTTATGATAGAATCCTTTGCCAGGCACTTCACTAGAGCTTGGGCTACCAGCTGCTCTAATAATAAGTGAATGTTATTGAAAAATAATAATATCGAGCATTTGGAAGCCCTCTGTTAGAGCTAATGAATGAGTTTAGCGTATTGTGCACAATAAAGAGCTCACGGGGTAAAACCCCCTTTCTCGCTACAGGTGTATTGGACTTCGCAAGAGGGAAAAGACTTAGGAGCGCTCACAAACCTGCCAAGCTCCATACAAGCAGAACAATCAGCCTGCCAACTTGTTGGTGTTCTTAAGATTCCAGCCTGCCCGGCAACTTTAGACAGTTGAAAGTGATGTGAAATCGGTGACTGATACCCTACACGGAGAAAAATGTCAGCTTTCAAAGTCAGCGGATGGAAACGCTTCAGTGCACAAAGGGCGTCGTGAAAACACGATATGGCTCTGCCAATACAGGAGAGCACTGGGGCTGCCGAGCCCGTGAATCAGTTTTTCAATCGGGAGGCACGGCGAGGCGGAGATCGCTATCGCGGTAACCACTGTTCTTCAACTTCTTTTTATCTCTTTGACTCGCCACCTGATTGTTAGGCTCAAATGAAATTAGAAGGAAATTATCTTCCTTCCTCGAAATTCACTTTAAACTCGGCTTTAAAAAAACACGAGCAGCATCCTAAAGCTGCCTGCAGCAGAGATGAGATATTTGATCAGAATACAAGAAATCGGACAGTATTTGGAGTGGGACGTAGTTACATCTGCTGTAAGCAAGCTCACAGAATTAATATATGGTTATCGAGAAGATAGTCTAAACCCTCTTTAATACTTAGGAGCGCTCTGATCTTACTTGGTGGAATACAGCACTGCATTCTGGAAAGTCTTGTTTAGCCTCCGTGTGACAATGCATCTGTTCGGGTTTTGTTCGCCCCCCTCTACCCCAACCCCCCTCTTCCCCACCTTCGGTGGCAGAAGGAAAGATTCCGCCCTTGAATTTGAATGCGTCAAGAATTGACAGGTCAAAGGCAAGTAAATCACATTATACACGATTGTATTGTTATTGTATCGATAACAACACATTATCAGAACAATTAACACGCACAACTACTCGGAGATCACAGTAGCGGTTTAACAAAAATCCAGATAAGTAACTAAACTCCGATAAAGTCTTCCCTTGTGTTTGGGGATTTGAAGCCTCTCCGAGAGTGTCCGTGCCTGTGTGTCTGTGCCTGAGCAGGCAGCCTCTCCGCGCCGCACCGCGGCCACGGAACTCCCCGCGGGGAGAGCAGCCTCCTCCCCCACGCCGTGCCTGCCTCAAACCGGGGGGAGGGAGGCTTGGGACCCTCCGGTCGCTCCTAACACGAGTCTAACCTTGCTCCAAGCGGAACTGATAAGAGTTTCCATCACTTCGTGCAAACCCTCTTGAAAACAGATTACTAGGGAAATGCAGACCCCCTGTAACGATCCGCAACCGCTGAAATAACCACGGGTGGTAGTTTTAGTAGCCAGTGGTTGCCGCAAAACTTAGGTGAGGGTAGGGGGAAAGCACTTTGTAAAGGAGATTCGAAAAAGTATTTCATTTGCAACTAGAAAAATAGACTTGAGCCAGTACTGAGCCATTTATAGATTTCAGCCTGTGAAAGATTCGTGTACAATAATTTATGACCAATAAATTCTATTACCTTTTTCACTATTTGGAGGACTAAACGTAATCAGAAACATGCGCAGACGAAGCCACGGGTTTGCAAATGGTCATATTTTTGGAAGAAAGCAGTCCATGAGTAGAGGCATCTTCTCTGCTGGAAGTTATGCAAGTGCTTTTTCTTTAAGACCAGATCGCCTGTATGCGACTCTGTGGGGACCTGCGAGCTGGTGGTTGTGCTGTTCTCGGACAGAAGGTGACCACTCACCCTAGAAACTTCCCTGAGCCCCGTGCCGACACCCGTGGCCCTTCCCCACGCGTTTTCTGTGGCACAGGTGCCCGCTCCGCCTGCACCTTGCCTTGTCGTTTGAGCGCTTGCAGATCCAGAGCTGCAGCGCGGCGGCGGCAGCAACCTTGGCGCGACGGTACCCACGGACTGACCCAGGGGCAGAGTTCGTGGTGCGGGGATTCATCTGTGTAGGAACTATCAGACGGGGGCTTACCCATGTGCCCGCCTTGTGTGCTTCACGCAGTTCTGTCGCGACACAGGACCATCGCGATCCTTTACACCGCACTGATGGGCTCGGGGTCACAAGCAGGGGGAGTGGAGGCGTGAGGGAGGCAGCGTGGGAGGGAAGAGCGGGGACAGAGCCACGCTGGAACCGAGCCCAGTGGGGAGTGAGCCCCCACTCTGCTCTCGGGGGGCGCTGGCGGGAGCGGGGCCCGGAGCCTCCGGGAGCTGGGGACGCCACTGGTGGTGGCATCAGTGAGTCGCTGCTGCTTCTTCCCCGCCGACTCTCCCTCTACGCCCCGAGCACCCTCCAGTAGATCCTGGTTCTCACCCTGCTTATGGCGACTACCGGGACGTATGAACCACGCTCTCGCCTGCCCTGAACTGACTTAATCCGGGCACTATCCCGCTGGCACCCACGATGCGAGGGGAAGTCGATCGAGCTGGCATCCGATCTGTGCAGAGAGAGACAGGGAATGAGTCCTCGCCTTTTAGAAGTCAAACACAATAATGCTACATAGGATCGAGAGAAATCGACAGTAAACCTCTTCCCTGGTCAAACGGGGAGGGAGGGGGGTTACGCAGTTGAAAATAGTGGCTGTTCATCCCAAAGCGGGAATGCCCTGGCCGATGGGGTGATAACCTAATTTCCAGAGCAGTTACCTGCGCCGGGATCAGCATCTCTTGGTGGGGCTCCCACCTTCGAGAAATCCCATTTCCCCGCCAAGCCCGAACGCCAGCAGATATCTTAATCTCCCCGCTTTTGACAATCGATGGGTACTTTTTTTTTGTTTCACGGCTAACTGGATTGTAGGAGGTCAAGCTTGGCAAGGTGGCTTCGGAGACTGAGAGAATTACGTTTAAGTAGTAGTATATGGGTCGTAAAACACGAAACGGGAGAAGACGCGGTTTGTAGAGGAGCTGCTCGGTATGTTACAGGGCACTCCGGCCGTGACAGGCTGCCGCGGGACCCGGGCGGGCTCACCGGCGGGGAGGGATGGCTGGCTTTGGGATTCTCTCCAAACATCCCGACATCCCAGGAGCTGCGGGTGGTGGTGGCGGACAGTGGTGCGGTGCGGCGGTAAGGAAGGCGCGAAGCCCAGCGGCTGGAGCGAGGAGCCTGACCGGAGGACGGAGCGGGATGCGCGGAGAGGAGCCCGGACGAGACGAGAGCGGGCGGCGCGACAAACAAGTCCGTGCGGCGAGCGGACATCACTGTCCCACCACGCCGAGTGATGTCTCCGCCGCGCCCAGCACCCTGTGGCCCGTCCGGCGGGGGGCTCGGTGGTGGTCCCGCAGTGGCTGCCACTGCACTCGTGCATCGCCCCCGGGAACTGCGGCTCCGGCTTTTCCCTAAAAGGGTGGCGGAGCCGTCCCGGACAGAGCCTAGTCTGTGCTAGGGAAAGAGTTAATGGTTTATTGGAGTCGGCGCTTCCACATACCACAAGGGTAAGTCAAAACCGACCCGCCGAAGCACAAACAAGGCGAGCAAGTTCACCCTGACTGACAGGCGGCCGGTGAGGAACACAGTGGGACAGCTCGGGCTGGGGGCGCCGTTCAGCGGCGTGCCGAGCGGCCAGGAGAACGCGCGCGGATTTTCTGGGCGCACCCAGGGATGCTCTCGGAGGCGGCGGCCTCTCCCCCTCGGCTGCACGGACCCTCCGCCGGGAAAACCCCAAAACACCCAAAAACACCCCGCATGCGCCGATCCCGAGCCCTCCCCGCGCCGCTGGCCCGAGAGGGGGCGTGGCGAATGGTGGCCCCGCCCCCCCGACGGAAGGCCCCGCCCCCGCCCGCGCGCCCCGCCGGCGGCGCGCAGGCCGCGTGCGGGCATATAGGGCGGTGCGCGGCGCGGGGGCACGCGGGGCGCGCGCGGTACCTGCGGCCGCGCCGACGGGGCGGGAGGAGGGGGCGGCTGCTGGACCCCCCCCCCCCCGCCGGGCGCGGAGCTGGGCAGGGCGCCGCCGGGCGCGGACCGCCGAGGATTTTAATTAGGTGTGTCCCCCCCTCCCCGCCTCCTCCTCCGCCGCCACCGCCTCCTCCTCCCTCCGCCCCCCGCCGCTCCCGCCCGCCCCGCCGCCCCTCCGAGTCGGCGGCCAAGAAAACCCAGAGAGACCTGGCGGCTGCCGGAGAAGGGGGAGCTGCACGGCAGGCGGAGCGCCCCGTATCCCGCCGAAACTTAGGGAAGTTTGTCCGGCGGCGCGAACCAGGAGGCCCGCGGTGCCCGGCGCCCGGCGAGTATGTGCGAGGAGCGGACTGCTCGCCGCGCCCCCTCGGGCGGAGCGGGGCGGCTGTAAGCGGGGCGGCCCGCGCCCCCCAGGGCCCTCACCGCAGCGCCTGAGCCGCCGCGGGCCCCGTCCCGCCCGGCCCCGCACTGCTCCGTGGCGGGCTGCCCTCCGAGCTCTGCGGGCGGCGATGGCACGGGGCGGGCTGTGACGGGCGCCCCGTTAAGGGCTCGCCGCCTCACCGGAGACCGCCGGAGAGCATCGCGTCCGCAGCAAAACGAGGACCCCCACGCCCCGCGCCTCTCGCCTGCCGCCGGCTCCCGTTCTCGCCGTCGAGACGTCTCTGCGATCCCGTCTGAACTCCGTGCGCTGTCGCCTGCGGGGAGCATCGAGGAAGAGCCCTGGCCCGGAGATAGGCAGCGCGGGGAGAGGCTCCGAGGCCCAGGCGGGGAGCGGAGCCCGTCCCGCCCAAGCCGCCCGCCGCAGCGCCCTGACGGGGAGGCGCCGCTGCCGCTCGGAAGCGCCCCGCGCCCGGAGTGAGGCCACCGGGTACCGCCGCCCCGCGCCCGTAGGAGCCGGTGCCGCCGCGTCTGGGTACTCGCCGAGATTGGTTTTGAAGGAGCGGACCGCGGCGGGGGCGAGGAAGAGGAGGCGGGAGACGAGCCCGGAGGAGGCGGCCGCCAGAGCGGGGCGGGCGGCGGCTCGCCGGGGCGGCAGGGGGACACCATGTCCAAGCCGGTGGACCACGTCAAGAGGCCGATGAACGCTTTCATGGTGTGGTCACGGGCGCAGCGACGGAAGATGGCCCAGGAGAACCCCAAGATGCACAACTCTGAGATCAGCAAGCGCCTGGGCGCCGAGTGGAAGCTGCTGACTGAATCGGAGAAGCGGCCCTTCATCGACGAGGCCAAGCGGCTGCGAGCCATGCACATGAAGGAACACCCCGACTACAAGTACCGGCCGCGGCGGAAGCCCAAGACGCTGCTCAAGAAGGACAAGTTCGCCTTCCCCGTGCCCTACGGGCTGGGCGGCGTGGCGGACCACGAGCACCCGCACGGGCTGAAGGCGGGCGGGCTGCACGGCGGCGCGGCCGGCGGGCTGGTGCCCGAGTCGCTCCTGGCCAACCCCGAGAAGGCGGCAGCCGCCGCCGCCGCTGCCGCCGCCCGCGTCTTCTTCCCCCAGTCGGCCGCCGCCGCTGCCGCTGCCGCCGCCGCCGCCGCCGCCAGCAGCCCCTACTCCCTGCTGGACCTGGGCTCCAAAATGGCCGAGATCTCATCTTCCTCCTCTTCCTCGGGCTCCGGGCTGCCCTACGCCTCCTCGTTGGGCTACCCCGGCGCCGGCGGGGCGGGCGCTTTCCACGGGGCCGCCGCCGCCGCCGCCGCCGCCGCGGCCGCCGCCGGGGGGCACACGCACTCGCACCCGTCGCCCGGTAACCCGGGCTACATGATCCCCTGCAACTGCAGCGCCTGGCCCGGCCCGGGGCTGCAGCCGCCGCTGGCCTACATCCTCCTGCCGGGCATGGGCAAGCCCCAGCTGGACCCTTATCCCGCAGCCTATGCCGCGGCACTATGACCCACGGCCGGAGGAGGCCCGCGCAGAGCTCCGGCGCCCGCCTGGATGTGTGCCGGCACATCCGTGCGCACGGGGAGGGGGGCGAGCCGCCGCTGGGGCCGCGGAGGGTGACCGGGCCAGGCGATGGGGAGCGCCGGGGCGGCGGACGACCTGTTGCTCGTCCCCTGCCTGCTGCCCCGGTTAGACCTTGTGTGTGTTGCATGCAGTCTGTGCAGATAGCCCAGCTGAAACAGAAGAGAAAAAAATGCAAAAAAAAAAAAATGAAAAAAAAGAAAAAAAAAAAAAAAAAAAAAAAAAAAGAAAAGAAAAGAACCGATCCGCCCTGCCCTCAAAGTGCTTGTTCGGGACAGACTCGGGGAGCAACATCCCTTGGCCGGCTCTGGCTTTCCCCTCCGTCGCTCCCGGCGTGGTGCTGGATTCGGAACAGTCCCGTTTTAGAACCCCTGCCACCGAGAGGAGAGACGAGGAAGCCGGGGGCAAGGGGGATGGTGAGGTCCCGGCTGAGCACGGCAGGGCCAGGTGCCGCCCCGCTAAAGGACAGGGTCACTCTGTCCTTGATTCGTAGCCCCTCGTGGGATCCATGCAAAGAAAGAGTTGGTGGTGCGGGATGCTGCCCTCCTGCTCTGTGCCCTGCCCTGCGTGGATTTCTGCCCTCCGCTGCTACGGGATGCTGACAGGCACGGGTCATGATTTTCACGAGAGGATAAGACGCGTGACTCTCGGTTCTCGTGTGTCTCCCCCCACCCCCCACTAATTAAGTCTCACCCTCAGACTGTAAATTTGTATATCTCTGTGGAAATGTTAGGTCTCGGATTGAAAACTGTTAGTTACTTCGCCCACGGTCGATTCAGTTTTAACCTGAAAAAAAAAAAAAGGAATGCCTTTCGAAGGGAATAAAAATATTGTGAGACTGCTCGAGAATCACAATATTATCTAAGGTTAAATCAGACTTTTTTGTCTGAGTGATAATTATCTATTTATTATTTAGCTGAACTGAAACAGAGCTTTGCTTTGACAGGAGAGTATTCTCATTTAAAAGAAAGTCTGTCTCCCCCATGAACATGAAGTGTTTCACACGTGTTTTGGAGTACCCTACCTGTTTAGCTTATTTTAGAGCCACTGCAATTCAATTGCAAATGGTGTTTAAAAGAAAGAAAAAACAACAAAGTTTAGAGGAAAAAAATCCTTCATCAGTTTAGAGTTCTTTTTTGATTTACTTTTGTAATGTGTATATTTTGACTAATGTTTGTGAATGAAGCTGGCTAACATGTATTTAGTTTCATTTTGGCTTTATGTAATATAAAGTAAAAAAAATGATTAAGTAATGGTTTTAACATTTACGTGTAAATGGTTTTCTTGTGTGATCTTCTAATTTAAAGTTAGACGTCTAAACTATATCTGTAAATTAGATTCCGACTACCACTCTGTTCATTTTTGAACAAAGAGTTTAAATAAAGCCTGAAGCAGGGAAAAGAGAAAATCCTCTATTTCTTGTTGAATTGCTAACAAGATTTTTATCTGAATTGCCCTTACGTGCCTGGTCCAGGTGAAGTGTAAGGTATCCTCTAAAGGCTGTCTTTGTTTCACTTTTGAATAGATTTACTAGGAAATCTAAAACAAGCCATTGTTATTCAGAGCCAAAAACCTGATTTATCACATTTTTAATCGTGAATAGGAAAGAAGATAAAAAAAACCCCTGAGTTGTCATATTATCTTAAAAAAAAAAAAAAGGCATTCATGGACCAGCAGAACAGAGTTCACTGAGTACACTGAGAGTGTTCATAGCATTTCATCGGTTTCCAGTAACGTTTTCAGAGTGAAAAGTTGCCTGACCACTTTATCTGGTTAGCCTAAGAGCTTCACCACTTAAACCGGTGTAATTTGTTCACCTATCTGAGCAATATTGCTGCTTTATTCCTGAAGTGTTTTTCGAGGGCCTTCCCAGTTAATTGCTAACTAAAACCTGACACCTTTCTTTGCCTCTAAACGGCTTTTCCCATTTGAGTGCCCAAAAATAGTGTTTTCAAAGGTAACTCAAGCAAAGATCTGCAGGAAAGTTTGCATGCTGCAGAGAAACGGGAGCAGGATGAAGTGGTCCATCCTTTTATCAAGGGAATTGTGAGCATCGCACAACGTGAATACCTACAAGGCATTAGAACAGAACTAGTCCCCTCACTGAGGTGGCAACCCCCGGCTCGTTTTGTATGTCTGTGTGCATGTATATGCAGTGTATGTATGTATGAAGTGCATTTTTTTTTTCAGAGTGGTCGATTGCACTCTTAATTGTGGCAATAACAATAGCTCCTGAGTAAATGTCTTCCAAATCAGCCTTCGCCTTGGAATTACGTTCAAAAAGTGTGAAGTTTGGAAGATTTGCGGAACGGTCTGTTCGTCTGACCCTGATTCACTAATTAAAACGATCCTGCTTTTGTTATTCTCCCAACGCTTTGCAATATTATAAGTTAATTCATATGGTTCTGAGCGATTATGCAAAACTAATTTGGACTGTCCAGGGGTAATTATCCCTGACACGGTTAATTAAATCCTTTCAGAGCTCCGCCATTCCCTTTTGTAGCAGCTCATCACTTCTCAACACGGAACTTCCTGCCACTTCCCTGGAAGTCACCCCAGCCCTAAATCTTAGTGACCTCCCTGCTCCTTCCAGTTCGATCCCAGAGATTATTTTTTTTAATCCTCCCCCTTTCTGGAGGCAATCAGGCCCTCTCTGGAAAATAAACGAGGATAAGAAAGTAA